CTTTGATATATATATATATATATATATATATATACACAGTTTATTTACATATATACTTATGAGCCATACCATTTACTGTCAGAGCTTTCGCTCCCCGTTAGCCTCTGTTACTCTAGCTAAGTACTGAACACACTGTTCGTCATGAGCCTGGCGCTCGTTCCTGCACACGGGGCCTGGCCACAATCTCGGGGTGGTTTGTGGATCAAGAATTCCCTTTTGCAGGGGCCACCCACCTTTTTAGGCGCGTGACCACCTCGCCACCCCGGTTGCAACTGAGTGGCCTTACGAGAAATGTGGCGCCGATATGGCACTATTCCTCAGGATCTACACCCTTGGGCTCAGAGATCCTAGTGTTCGAGCCCCGGCAGTGGCGAGATTTTCAACACTAGCTAGGTAGCTAGGTGGAATTGAGCGGCTGTCTAGAGGTGAGTTCTAGCAGCCGGCTGCTCTACAGTGGTCGACTCTCGCCAGTTTTCAGTGGTTTCTCCGATTAACACCAAACGAATGCCGGAGCAGTGCCTTAACAAACGGGCCACGGACCGCTCTAGATTTCCCCTTCCTTTTTTTGTCGTCCTATCCTCACCCCTTACATACACATTACACTTTCATGTACTACACTATCACATATGTCGGGAGATCTGCTTTTCCCGGCTGGAGCTATGCCTTGCTGGTCGGGAAAAACACAACTGGACGGTAGGTCGGCGCTCTCGCCGTCCAGTGAGGGAAGATCGCCGCCATCTCAAGCAATAAATCATGTACTACACTTACGGAACTCCCGTGGAGGAGTGTCTGTCCACGTCCTGACTAGGGGCTTGCAGAGAAGACTCCCCCCCAAAAAGGCTCTTAAAATTGCAGAGGAAAAGAGTATTCGACATTATCTCATAGAAAATGCAGGTATTGTAATAGTTGTCAGCCTGAGGGTCCGTGTAACTATTTAGTTCCCACTATTTAGTCACAATGCTCAAATGAAAATGAAGAAAATAAGTAGATTGTCAACCTGTGATTCCAACAAGATTAAAAAGGAACACCTTACAAAGACGCTGAAACTCGTAGGATATAAAATAAAAATTCAATGCTCCTTACCTTTCTTATGAATTCTGATTGCTCATAAAAACAAAGGTGTCACAAACATTAGTCACCCCTTTTCTGCTATGAAATGCGTTATGTACCATTAGAACGGTATGTTTGGAATAGTATCTGTCTTCATAGTTAAAACGCAGTGAGTGAAAGTACCTCAATTGAATGAATTAAACTGCCGTTACTACTGATCTATTGATAACGATGACCATTTATTAGCTTGATGTAGGCAAACTCACGAAATGCATCGTATATAATGTCAACGGCTCAAGGCATTAATTCACAATCCCTTTGAATTGTGCCATATATTTTATACTTTCTAAGCAACTAAAGTTTTTTAGAGCAATGATAAGCCTGATGATTTCCTCAGATGTCGTTTGCGACATTCATCCAATAAATGTTATTTTGTAACAAATAGCAATTTGGTAGCCACTACTTTATTATGTGTATTTTTATTTTGTGTGTGATGAGAACGCTCGTACTTGTAACACTCCATTTCTGTAGATGTGTAATATAATGTTTTCAGAAAACTTGTCTCGTTTAATGTAAATTTGCAAGAGAAAAAATGTCCATTCATACAAAATTATTTCAGTTTGGTATATTTGGCAAAAGTACTTGCCACGTAGTATACACTCAATATGTTATTGAAATACATGGATAATAATTGTTGTATGAAAAAAGGCCAATTCCCTTTCTAAATTGTATTTTATGGATGTCTTTATTCATTTCAATTTCGTTACCGTTATTATTTGTCATTTTGTCGTCAAAATAGTCGGGGAGAAGTTGAATGCTCGCAATAAGCTGCTCAAAAGGACGAATTAAGTGCAAATGGAAAAGGTATCCCATAGCAATAGAAAGTCAGAAATGATGTAAAAAAACTGGCTCTATTTATTCAAAAGTATATAAAAACACTGAAGGCAAAACACAACAGAGAACACGAAACTTAACAGCAGATGACATAAAAATATGATGGCATGAGAACATTCACAATGACCAGTGAACACTGATTAAACCAAATCAATAACCGTAGTGGCCGTGGCCCTGGGAGACGGTGATCTCTTGCGCGTCGCCGACGACGGGGCCGTGGAAGTTGACGTAGGAGGTGGCCTTGACCTGCTGGTGGCCGTGGCCGTGCTTGTCCTTGAGGACGTAGACGTGCTCGTTGTGGCCGTGGTTCTCCACGTCAGCGAGGAAGCCGCCCTTCTTGTCGGAGATGTATTTGACGGTGCGCAGCACGCCGCCGGGCTCCTTCAGGGTGTACTGGCCCTCCACGCGGTCGCCGTCGCGGTGCTCCACCTGGCCGTGCTGGTCGCCGGTGTGGTGGTCCTCAACGCCGTACTCGTATTTGTACTTCGGGTAGGCCTGGAGAAAACGAAATAAACAGTATAGATTTTCTCATTTGTTGATACATTTGTGCAATAATTTATCTGAATGTCACAAGTACTAATTTAATTGGGTTTCTGATATTGACATTCAGGTTCATGTAAGTTTATTTTTTTCTGCGCAACATCATTCAATTTGGGATTGTAAGCCTTCCGAATTAACCTTTAGGTTGTACTGGACTCAAGAGTCCCGTGACAGAATTCTATCCCGCGTGCTCTTTTATGCCGATGTTTCGTATTTTGAACTCCTATACTTCTGTGATCTAGAGACGTGTAACGTTCTTCGAGAGCTTTCTGGAAGGGGGCTTTGCAAATCCGGAATAACTGCAAATTGCAAATAAGTTACACAATTTCTACAGAGAAAGACATAGAGGGGAGTTAGTAGTTAGTTAGTAGTTAGTAGAGACATTTACGTCGTTTCTTGTACTCGAAATAATGTTTACGTACTATTTTAAGTTGCAAAATTCAGAAATGGCCGTTTTCGGTAAGAAAGTCATCTCCCAAAAAAAATGCAAGAATAGCCTCCTCTCCGATTCTAGACATTATCGATCAGTATTTCTCAATGTAATTTCGTAGGTACAGCCGTCGTTAGATGGCTAATGAATCTAATACTTTCTTGAATCTTTGTGGGGTATGAATAATTCATGACATATTGGAGTTGTTTTTCGAATTCTTGAGTCTAAAAGGATATCTAGATGACCATTTTAGATATGATAGGGCAACCTACAATATTTTCTTTGAATATACAAAATCACTAGTGTGGAAGGAGGACAGTTCGAACCGTTCCAAAACAATTAGTCAGAGATTACACTAATCTGGAAATCATCAATATAATAATTCGTTCTTTTCGAGTTGTTTTGAAAAATATAATTAATATTGGGGAAATCAGGCCTCTAGCTACAGCCACGGGCCGGCGTACTTACCACGTAATCCACGAACTCGACGTGTTTGCCATGCTTGTCGGCGACCGTGCCGCGAATCTCCTGGGCGTGGCCCTCGACGGGGCCCTGGAAGACGGCGTAGGACTTGCCCGAGTAGCCTCCGTGGCCGCCGTAGCCACCGCCAAGGCCCCCGCTGCCGCCCTCCGAGGCGCCCAGGCTGCCGTAGCCGCCGCCCAGGCCGCCGCTGTAGTCACCGTAACCGGCGTGGGCGCCCGCCACCGCCAGCGCCAAGAGAATGAACTACGCCAGAGTAATACCAGGTTCCGTTATTACATTGATCAGGGTTATCATGAAGGCACGAGCATGGAGCGCTTACTGATTTTGAATGTGTGTATGTGTGTGTGTGTGTGTATATATATGTATGTATGTATATATTATATATATATATATATATATATATATATATATATATATATATATATATTTAAATTAACTAAATGGGCATGGGCAATGTTGATCGATTATCCGATACTATGCATATTGAAAATATATTATCAGTGAGTGAGATAACACGTAGACAATTTATTTTGTTGGTGTGAATATAAAAAATATAAAATTCTTTAATTGAACTAGGAAGTAATATACATAGTAGAGAGAAAGTTATGTAATGCTGCGCCACAAAATGGCGATTTTTCGACAAAATCTCGTGGTGTGAAACCCTGATACAGAAATATTAGGTAAAACTTATTTATTAAATTACTGCCTCTAACACGTTATATACTCAGATTTCCGAAATTCTTTCAAAACCTTAATACCGAAAAAGGTTTGCTTTTTTTCAAAACGTTAATCTTTTTCCACAATCGATATTCACCGATCGACTCGAGGCGCTTCGATTTTGTAAAACATGCTTTGAAATTTGGAGGTACCAGTACTTTACATGACCCCAAGCAACATTCTCAAAATTTTCTCAAAAATGGCTCCAAATTTTTCGAAAGAATTAAGTACACTTATAAAGATGGCATGTGTCCGTTTTTCACTTTTTACACTGAATTTTCGAAAATTACACAAGTTTGAATATTTTTTCTGCGTCTTCTTACACCTACAAAATTGAAGACAGATTTTCTCTTAAAGTTATTTTTTTTCTCCGTAGTTAGTTCCTTCAACACGTTCATGTACTTTCCTGGACAATTTGAGTCGTTCCGCGCAATATTGCGTGCAACGGGTGCAATATTAAAAAAATTACAAGAACTTAATTTTCTCAAAAAAGGATCGAAATTTTCTTTCAAATTTTAATAAGGATACTGACGAATGTACAGTATAAGATGACATATAAGACGTATGCGTATAAGACGCCATTTTGCTCTATTTTGTTTTTTCAAAAAATACACATGTAGTTTTTACTTGTCACTGATATCCTTCATACTTACATGATCGGCATTTTTTTCACATTATTGCATTTATGAGTAAATGTGATTTAAAGATTTCTTATAAAGCTTCTCGAAAACTCAAAAATGTACTATAAAAATGAGCTCAAAATTTCCCATTTTCCGAAACGCTCAAATGCCAATTTTTTTGTTCAAACTTGTTAGCAGAGATTGTGCTAAATACACTATTTAAGATTATATAAAATTCATTTTCCTTTATTCTTTTTTGTTGTTTTTTCAAAAATCACACAAATCTCTTTACAGTCTTTGATGATAATTCATCACTTATAAATTTTCACTCTCCAAATCCATTGTTCTTCAAGAATGCAACACAAACTATCTTCCTTGCTGTTAAGGCGAACTAATTTTTTATACAGTTTGAAGTCCTATTACTTTTGCAGAGTAGTTCTGATATGGAAGGTATCCGATCCGCGTGAAGGGCCACAACGCACGTCCTCTCGGGAAACACCTCTCCACAGAACTCACCTGAGCCTTGTACATGTTGCTAATCTGGAGATACAGCTGCAACTGATGCAGTACGGAGAACACGTGCGCCTTAAATACCCGTGGATCCAATAGAGCGAAAATCCGGGCGAACGAAAGTACTTCACAGCAGTAGCGGCGGCGGCGGCTGCACAGCACCGAGCCCCGCCCACTCCCTTCGGATGACGTCGTTACCGAATCGACCTGCTCGCGACCAAAAAAGCCGCGCGCGCTCTCATACGTAACACCCGGAAAGGCGCTGGGGGCTCGCCTCTCGCTGCCCGAGCCCCAATTTGCGCGACCGTGTGTGACATGTCCCCTTTTATGAATTGCTCGCCTCAGGTATTTCGAACACTGCGGGCGGGCGCTGCGACCTCAGATTTGTTGTACCTTTCGCTCCGGCGCTTCGGGCGGTCGGCGCTTCGGGTCTCGTCAGGCGGCGGCCAGCCGCGTGCAAAATGAACGCTGTGCCACACGCTTTTGTTATCTGCTAAGTACTTGCTAATTGAGGTTTTATAAATTAACCAAGTGCGTATTTTTAATATGGTTGATGATTGTTATTTTGCGTGCCTGTAAGCGGAGTCATTCCACTCTGAGTGCTGCAAGTCATGTGCGGGTCTCTTTAGGTTAGCAGCAACTCGTTTTGCGCCATCGCGTGTTTCCTCTGCAGCGATCGTTTCATCTAATTGCTGCATTGTTGTTACCCCGACGTAAATTACTATTATGCTCATCCTGCTCATCACGAACGTCTTGCAACGAAGAGACACTCAATTTGCTGGGGAGAAAAGGGCAAATGTGTTTTTATTAGGTGTTAAATCTCGTGTCTCTTAGAATTCAAACCACTTTATTAGACTTAGCAAGCCATTCAAATTCTTGCGAAATTTATTTGGGAAAGTGGGTTCTCAAATATGTCCGTTATGCTGTGTTCATAATAATATGTACACAAGGTAATTTCAAAGGAGGAAAGCAGCTTAGCACTGGTTAGTTTTCCTGTTAGAAATGGCCTTATTTATGACGTGCTAAATGCGCCAAAAACCTCTCATAGTCATAGTTTATATATTTAATAAGTTATAACATTTTAACATCAGAATTTTCACTTGTGGTCGATAGCGTCTTTCCTTTTCGTAAATTGCACAATGGTGAAATTTACATATTAAAGTAAATATAATATTGTCACTGATAAACAAACTTTGTACATAAGAATGCGAGCGAAAGCCGTTGATAAGGCCTCTGCTTCGACGTCTCTTAGTACTACCCCAGTAGTTTACTTTCGGAAAATTCTAAACTTGCGGAGAAATATTGTAAACTATAAAGTATTCCATGTGCCATTGGCCAGGAGGAATAGTTTTCAACCCCGAATTAATGAAAAATGAAGACATTGTTAGCATAATTTCCTATCGAATTTGTATGCAAACTATGAGATTTGCTGATATATTTCTTCAGAAATGCACCATAGGACAACTTTAGGTGTCTCTCGCCGTCCATTAGCTCGGGAGCTGTCACCACTGACAGCCAACTTTCTACTTGAGTGGTAGGAATGTTGTGCTAGCTGAATGACTTGGTATTACAAACAAGTGATCGAATATGATTGGCCCTACTTCAGCTACTGAAGAACGGGAGCTGTTCGATGAGCGTTCCATCGAATGTTATTTAATACAGTGTGAATTATATAATATTAAACGATAGAGATTGATGTTATTGGGATGCTTTTAAGATATAGTTGACCACAGAGAACTTCTTTACATCTATAAAGAGAAATAAAAACAAGAGCAAAAAATTGTTACGATTCATTGCCTTGGTAAAAGGAAATGATGCAACGTAATTCATTATCAATTTTTTTGAACACTACTAGTTCCAAGAACAACTGTCAGAGAAAGGTCGTAACGCGACGAAGTACATTAATGAGTGTTAAGAAAAAGTATTTGAGAACGTATTGAAAGTATTTGAGAACGAAATAAGTCTTACATCACGGCCCCTAAAATATATATTGCCATAATGTTGCAACATTGAAAATGCGATATTCGACTAAACGACTAAACGAAAATGCGATATTCGTGCTGCTAAACACTAGAGCTCAACTGTGTTGCACATAGTAATTTTATTTTTTGTACACAATAATATAAATAACACATTTCAAAATAGTCTTTTTATCCCGTCCATTATACACGAGTCTTTATCACAGATGGAAATTCTTTGATTTCAAAATATGAGCCACATATTTTAATATGAGGTTAAAATACATTCCATGCTTGCAAATCGCTTTCCACAGAACGGAGTCTTCAGTTTTCTAATATCCTAAAGTGCGTGAACGGATGAACTGGCATGAGCGCTATGGAACGGTGGCATCTCTTCCCTTCTATATCTCGAAGCACGTCACACAGCACTGAGGCACTGTTAATTGCTATTACCAACACACGCTGTAAGATACTCCTCGTTAGGATTTAGTACGAGTGTTCACTCATCTTTACCAATGCTTCAATTAAAAACAAGATTAATTCCGGGTGAGTTCAGCTCAGAGCCACAGATAACTGTAGTGACTACTGAAAGTCTGAACGGCAGGGCCTGGGGTTTGCGTCTCGGCGGTGGATTGTGACTACGTAACTAAGTCCAATGCAGCCGCTATCTGAAGGAGAATTCTAGCGGCCGTCTGTTCTTAGTCGTTAGTTTTCCGTGGTTTGAACGATGAATATCAGACAAATGCCGAAGCAGTACCCTAACAAACGGACCACGCGCGATCTTTCCTTCCTTTTTTCCTACCTTTCCTTCTTCTACCTATCCTCTCCCCTTACACACACAGTTACGCATGTATGCATTACTCTACCCCACATAGTGACAGAGCAATTAGGATCTTAGAGTTTGTCCCTGCTGACGAAGTGCATGCTAACGGAGATAACTCTACCTCCCGCAATAATATATTTACTTTAATGGCGATACCAGTGACCGTAGCAATTGACTTTCTCGAAAGCATCAAAAAATCTGTAAGATTACGGTGAATGAGTTACGGTGAATTTTTCGGTGAATGAGTTACAATTTTTTTATCAACCGTGAGATAGTCAGTAATTGAAATCAAAATGGACTAGTGTATTAATCTATTCCAACTGCAATGCAAAACTCGAATTCCAAGTAATAGTGAATTCCAATGCTAATAATGACTAAGTTATTGAATGCTAAATATATGTTATCTTCGTCCTAATTTTTAATTTTAAACATCTGCCTTGTTTATTTTTCCATTTCCCCCTTATTAGTAGTATACTAATATTTAGCAGAATGACATATGTTTTTAAACGTAAATATTTATTGTTACTGATGAACATTAGCACAAACCCACGGCACCCTCGGCACTAATTACAAAATACGCATAAACTAGAGGGGCTAAAACTGCACGTAGTTTGTTGCCATTAATAATGATTATGTAATACTATTTATACCACAATTTCTCTCCGAATGAACAAATCTCAAAAATCATTTTTTGTAAAACTCATTTGAAATCGTAGAACATTTGGTGCGAAAAATAAGCAATATGCGAGAAAGTACAATAATTAAAAGTTAATAAACAATACTATACTGATAATGTTCGCAAACAAATGCAAGTAAATCGAAACATATAATAGTAATTATTAAACTCTATGGTGGTGTAATATTCTTCAGTATGCAATTTAAAATAACATAAATATAGTAAGTAATAATAAAATGAAATATGAAATAATATACAAATTCTAACTTAAGTAGCATCCAACTGCCTCGAATTCTGCTGAAAAATACTCATATTTTCGAAAAACTCCCTATGACCATATTTGAAGATCTGAATTTGATGCACATTTAATTTTAAAAAATTGTATAATCATATTGTAGTAATATAAGGTATAAAAAATCTGATTTTTGATACTAGTCAACTTCTTTAATTCACCATATTTAATTATTAAAAGGTATCTACCTCACTAGCGATCTAATTAACATATTGTAGTTGTAGGAAAACGCCAAAAACATTTCGAATTTTTCCAATGTTAAACAAATCAGCATTTTCAATCAACATGAGACCAGCCCCATTCCCTTAAACGTCCTTGAGACTGTCCATCAACAATATTTAATCGATGGACTCTTTTTGAAAATTTTGAAAATGTCCCAGACGGTCAAGTAAGGTACCCTTCAAAATTAAAAGATCGGTTTCCAATTCAATTGACCGCGACATCAACCAAACCATTCGGGAAATATCAATTGAATATCAAACCATTGGAAAAATCGGGAGAACGGCTTAGCAGCTAGCGTTGTCACAGACGGACGGACAGACGTTTGCCGGCAATCGATTTTTCGGTATAAAGAACAAAACAGGGATTCTGGCATGTTAGAGAATTGTTTGTTTTTTTTTCTAAATTTAAAAAATTGGTTTATCCACTTTTTCGTTACCAGGGCCCTGTAATAGTTATTCTGCCAAAAATTTGCCATTTTTTGGCCCAGCATTACATGATCTTCTCTTCTTAAGAAGTTCCTCCTTAAGCGCCAGAAAGTAAAATCTACAAAATTAAGATATTCAATTCTGTTCCCATATGCATGAAGTAGTGCTCAAACCTGAACATGTACTTGTATATTGATGGTAGAGTTACAGCCTCAACTAACGAGCCTTGAAGAAAACGTAATAACAATTCTGAATCATTAAAAACACTTACCTTAAACTTATTGACTTAATGATGAAAATTACGTCTTAAAACAATTAGCTGAGACTATATCCCAACATTATCACTATCTTCAACTTTCTCCTTTGAAAAATGATTGTTTGGTACATAAAATCGAATGTCATTACTCAATATCACTATTACATTGTAACAAATATGAAATGTGAACGTAATTCAAAACAAGCGTTTTTTTTTTTTTTTTTTTTTTTTTTTTTTTTTTTTTTTTTTGAGAAAATATTTTTTCGTAAATGTTAAACGCAAATTATGCAAAAACCACTCATTTTGTTCTGAAAAATTGATCACATTTATTAAAGAGGTAATTTTGTATAACAGACTTTGTCTGAGCTAAAAACCTCTATCATCAATTTTGTAGGTTTTTTTTTTCATTTGCGAAAAATCGGAGATATCACCAAAATGAGAACTGCATCATTTTCTTAAACGTTTTTCGCACTAATAAACAACAAAATTTAATTAAAAAATTTGGACTTTTTTGTTGTTGAAAAATTTTGAAAATGCCTGAAAAACATCATGTAAGGTACCCCGAAAATTAAAATATCGGTGTCGAAATCCAGGGGCCGCCACATCAGTCAAGATCGATTGTGGAAAATCGGCTGAACGGTTTAGGCGCTAGCGTTTGACCACAAACGGACAGTTTTGCCGTCAATCGAATTTTCGGTATCAAGAATCAACAACACACTGGCTACACCACGAGTTAGAGGATTTTTCCCCTAAATTTAGCATTAGGATGTATCCACATTTTCGTTACGAGAGCCGACTATAATACTTTATCTGGCGAAAATTCGTCGTTTCCGGCGTACACGTCTAATTTTATGGATCTTCAAGAATTAACATTATTATTATTATTATTATTATTATTATTATTATTATTATTTACATTAAAAATAGTAGTAGTAGCTTGGTAGATATTTTGAGAACTAGCTAAATAATACAGTAGAAGACGTGTAGTAAATTCCGAAGACTTCAGACTCCCTTCATTGAAAACATTAAAAAAAGTTTGGCATCTTCCGACAACTGCACTATTAAAGATAGTGACTTTTTCTTGGCAGTACAAGGATAATAACAAAATATCTTTCTTTGTCTGACTCTAGCTGCAACTTAAGTTTATGAATTTTGCGTGATATTGAAAGTACAAAACTTCAGTCAATTTGCTTTGTATTGAATGCCTTATTTACGATATTTGGAGAATGTTTTTCGTTTAATATTAGGTTTGTTGATTCAAAACGTTCTTTTGATGAGTTCTGTGAGTAAAGTTGGCCATTCTAGAAAGACGTCCCTTTCTATCGCTCACGGTGGGTGCATATTTCTAGTTACTGTTACAGCTGAGTTACGGTCTGAACGCGTTGTTGTAGATACGAGTGTGTATCTAAAATCTTCTTTAGTACAATATATACCAGGGTAGTGTATTTTCGAAATTAAATAATTTTATTTATGTAATAGTGCTCGTTGCTAAGTTGCGCGTAGCGCTCGGTGACAAGACCCCTACCCACTGGTTGCGCCACCGAAGATCCTATATTGAAGCGAGTTGAAGTGTGGATGCGTTAGAGAATGTTAACAGAGCCAGAGCGCGACATGGCGTAATACGAAAAGCACCACACAGAGGGGAGAACGCTAGTTGGGCGCTCTTTGATTTCAAAATGATTGCATATACATCTATATTGCTGTAATATCTTGAATACTGAATTCCTCAAAATTTAAATGTACATTTCTAACATATTATATGATCATTTTAGATTTTTTGGAGGGTACAACTGTTCAACCTACGGACGAGCTGCCACTGCAACCTACCTGTTGTAGTGTTTCCGTGCTAGAACTTTTGGTTGAAAACGTAATAATTTATTAAGAAAATAAATTTATAAATGAATATTAGTTGTCTTTTGTCAAATTTAACCAAAAATCCTTTTTAGTTTAATTGAAATTGTTTCGAAACTTTAAAAAAAATCATGGATTTGGATGAAAATGAGACCTGCATCATTCTCTTTGGCGTTCTTTACGCCATCGAACAAACTTTAATCAGACAATTTGGTGCCAAATTTTCAAAACGTCACAAGGGCTTCATATAAAGTACCCCTCCCCCCGAAGAGTTAAAATATCCGTATCAAATTCAAGGAGACGCGATATCAGCTAGAGCGATTGGGGAATATCAATTTTAGAGAAAATCGTCCGAATGGTTAAGGCGCTAGCGTTGACCACAGACGGACAGACTGACTTTTTCTGTAGTAGGGACCCACAAAACATGGATTCTGACAACACAACGTTTTAGAGGTAGTAATATACTATACTATACCATATAGTATACTTAATACTATACTATATATTATACTATATACTATACTATATATTATACTATACAGTATACTATATACAATACTATATACTTTACTATATACTGTACTATATACTGTACTATATACTATACTATATACTACTGGGACAAGAGTTTTCCGTTTTTTGTTACCACGGCCTGGCAATAAGAGTTTTTCTCTCAAAAATTCACCGTTTTTTTCTCACAGCATTACAATACTTTCTCTGTACTGCGTAAGCAAGGGAGAAAGTTTGTGTGAACCGTACAAAACTCTAGTCTCTTCTAACTGCATTAAATATAAAAGAAGATAGAGTTCACCCATGTTTCAATTTTCCGCAATAAATGTTTTTCAGAAGAATAATCTTGCTCCTCGTGAACTGTAATGCAGAATACAAACTGTTTTAGAAGATCTTGAGGCAAAATATTATCTTTCGGTTTAATAAAAATATTCGAATCGCACGTCAACCAGTGTTTGCCATCTTCTTCTCCTCTTAAAATTAGTTGGAGAAAGATAACAACCAATTTCAGCAGGAATCCCACTTGGACCGGTGTACTGTATTTTTGTACTCCTCCTTTCCAAAATAAATCTTGTGTGCGCAATATTCTTCTCGTGCTTTCTGAGACCTTGTCAAACCAGAGACCTTCAAGCCTACAGGAGCTAATTATAAGAGGTGATGGAATCCAATATCATTGTTCTGTGGCGCATCCAATTAGAACTCATGATTCCCCTTTCTTGCCGTGGGCACTGAGACTCAGAGTATATTACAAAAGAGTTCAAAGAAGGTATTCCAAGATGCTGAAATTAGTGTGTGATTATGTGGATCACATTTTGAATCGTTATTTTTAATACTTTTTGCGACTGTTTGTATCATGTATCTCGTCCTTGCCACGTGACGAGCCAGAAACTCCCATCTCGATCAGGTTTTTGTCCAGTTTCCCTGATCCTTGATCAAATGCTGAGATGGCACGTTGTTTTACTTCTGGACAATACTGTAACTTCAAATTGACTTATCCCTTTAGCACATCACACAGTTTCTATGTTTCTAACGTAAATAAATAATAAATAAACTGGGGTCTGATCTTGTTGCAAGCTGAAGAGATAGACGTAGTTCGTCAGAAAGCTATCAAAGAATTTTTGGTATTAGTTTAAATATGTAAAAAAAATAAGCCCTATTATTTGAAGAAATGACTAGTGGTGCATTAAAATGAAAAGTGTTTTTTTTTAATTTCATATTAATAACGTTTTTAGTTTAAATTCACTAATAGACATTCTAGAGTATCAAATATAAAAGAGGCTACTTGTTGCGTATTCAAAATAATCTTCTGTTATGACAAACATCAAACATTCCCCCGTCCGCCCCCCAAAAGGGCCACGATGCACTTCCATTGCAGTTTTCGTTGCACGGACGGACGCCGTGCCGGCGCCGGTGCACTCGGCGTCTGCACAACGGGAGGCGGCGCCGCGCCGGGTGGGCAGCGTGAAAGGAGCGGAGCGGATACCCGCCCGACCGCCTTCCTGCCAGTGAACCGAGACTGAACCTTTCTTGAAAGCTCGCCATCTCGCCCGCCGACGCTCATGTAACCACCGTTCGCGCTGGAAAGGCCTCCTGCAACATTCCGCTGTTCCCGGCGAGACTTCGAGAAAACTTCACTCTTATTCGCGACAGATTAATTATTGCAATTTCCCGCAGATAACAGCGTACGTGTATCCCAGCTAATGACGAAGTCTGTAAATCATGTTGACAACTTGTTTTTTCAGCCTGTGAAGTAGTATCCCTCTAGCCCGTTTTTGGTTGGTGTTTGATTACGCTCTGTAGGAAAGGAAATGATTGTCAACTACAAATAGTGAGGATGTAAGCTCACCATGTCCTCATTAAAGTGTACATCGCAGTTCTTTCGTTTATACTGATTTGGATGTAGTGTGTCGCGTCATGTGAGAGAAATACTAGAACATACGATCTTATGCAATACTTTATTCTAGGTACTACTCAATTTTGGTTCTGATCTCATTTTGAGTTTAAACTGTTCATACAACAACTCATTTGTTTACTGGTATACGTGATATTAAGTATGGTGAACCTGCATAAGAAACTGTCTATTTTTTGACGTTCGTTTCTGATAGTATAAAGCCTTGAATGCGTGATACATACTTTACATATTAAGAGAATGCAATAAGTCTTGTACATGCAATGCAGGGTAAACTAAAATGGTAATATAAAAATAATTTGAAACATATTACTGGCAGTATTCTTTTTTGATTTTGGTCGTTCGTGATGCATAAAGGCAAAACTTGAATTAAGTATTTAAATCGAAGGTAGCTACTCTAATCGGGAAGTTTTCACATTATATTCGTATTGGCTGGACTTCAGAATGGTTTCTGCTTGTTTCCAGATCTTCGCAAATATTGTCCTCCATATGCCAAAATTATTTTCGTAGTTTGGAATAAATGTCATAACAAAATATTCCCACTAATTCCGGAATTTCATTGTTAAATTCTGGACAATTACACAAACCCCAGAGAAATGAATGTGAAGTGAAGGAAGTTAATATGATAGGTTAAATCACCAAGAAAAATTTAAACAAACAATATTGTCACTTTATTAAAAAGAAAGGAAAGCAAACAAAACATAACGGGAGAACAATTTAACAAATGAAAAAGGTAAAAAATGACTACAAAATGTTTCGAGGGCTATTGGCCGTTCCCTTGCTTGCTGTTGAGCACGACCGCCTGGAAGCCGCTGTGCTTGTCGACGACGTACTTGACGGTGCGGATGTTGCCGTCGGGCTCCTTGAAGGAGTACTGGCCCTCCACCTGGTCGCCGTCGCGGATCTCGCTCTGCTGCTTGAAGTCGCCCGTGTGGTGGTCCTCCACGCCGTACTCGTACTTGTACTTGGGGTACGCCTGCGATAAAAAGTCAGTTTTAATTATGTAATTAAGATTATTACAAAATATATGTAATAACGAAAATATAGTATACTTATTCCAAAATAAACATTAAAAGTTGTACGAGTATTATGTATTTTGTTCCATTTTTTCATTACAATATTTTTTCTATAATTTCAGTATATTGAACTTGTAAAAAAGTGTGAATTATGTTTATTTTTTACGAATGTTTATGACTTAATCATAGTGAAATTTAACTTAGCTTAATGAAATAATATATGCTACCATTCTTGTCCACTCTGAAAGTTATATTTACTTCAATGGTTTAAATGTATTATCCTTCTTTTCCGTAAATACTTAGCTTCTTGAGGATACTCACCACATAATCGTGAATTTCTACGTGTTTGCCGTGCTTGTCGGAAACCGTTGCCTGGATGGGCTGAACGTGGCCCTCGACAGGGCCGCTGAAGATGGCGTAGGACTTGCCACTAGTGTGTCCTTGGTAGCCCCCGCCGAGACCACCACCCAGACCGCTGCCGCTGCCGCCCAGGCTTCCTTCGCTACCGCCGCCAAGTCCGCCGCCGAGTCCGCCGCCGAGACCACCTCCGTTGCGGCCGCCCAGGCCTTCTTCATTACCGCCGCCGAAACCACCGAGTCCGCCGCCGAGACCACCTCCCAGACTGCCCCCGTTGCCGCCGCCCAGGCCTCCTTCACTACCACCGCCGAAACCGCCGCCTAGCCCACGGGCGCCGCCGCCGAGACCACCACCCAGGCCTCCTCCTCTGCCGCCGCCGAGGCCTCCGCCGAGACCGCCTCCTTCGCCACCTCCGAAGCCCCCGCCAAGGCCTCCGCTCCCGCCGTCTCCTCCGCCGAAGCCGCCACGGCCTCGGCCGCCGCCAAAGCCTCCTCCGAAGCCGCCTCCATATCCTCCGCTGCCGCCGCCGCCACCTCTGCCTCCGCCGAAGCCCCCGCTGTAGCCACCGTAGCCACCGTAGCCACCAGCCTTGGTGCCCATAACGAGGGCTAACGCCACTAGGATTACCTAAAGACAAAGAGAAAAGACATTAAAATAACTGCATTTTTATCACGCAAAACTAGTAATAAAATACATAATTTCTATATGCGAGATATCTTAAGATTACCGGAAACCCGAGTCACTTAGTGCCCCCGCAGGCGACTTTGTGCCACCGCGCCATTTAGAAAAATTGGCCTTAAACTATATTGTGTTGTCTCTAGCAATGCCCTTGGTGGATACTTAATTCACCTGAAGTGTGGTGCTCTTTACTACGGCATTTAGAAACTGCATTTTCAATACTGTATTCCTGCGTTTTTAGTTCTTAAATTTGCAACATTTGGAGTTGTACTCATGTTTCTCGGAACATTTGTGTTGCAACTCAGAGTCCAGTAACTTTAAGGAGAATAATATAAGTGAGCGATTTTCTCCAAAAGTGATATTCCCCGATCGATGTGAATGAACGCAAGGCTTTTGTGTTTCAAACGTATAATTCGATTTTCATGGGTACTTTACATGAAGCCTCAAAACATTTTCGTAATTTTCTACAAAATTGTGCCAAATTTAGTAATCTGTCTCTGGATATCATAAAGGACGCTTAAGGGATTTGTGCAGGTCTCATGTTTGTTGAAATCCCAGATATTTGTGCAATTTTTTGCACGTGTTATTTTTTGGCGCGCCTTCCTACAACTATAATAATGAAGATAAACTGTTTTTTCTTAATGAAATATGTTCCTTAAAGACTAATCTTTAAATAAGTTCAAGTTTAATTATTCGAAAATATGAGTAGTTATGGTGTAATTTGATACAAAATGTAAGCAATTAAAACATTGTAACTTTTTTCCAAAAACTGCTCAAATATTTTCATTAATTTCTTTTTCACGGATAGAAGAAAGGGTGCTTAAAACAATGGCGCGGGTCTCATTTTAGTTGATCTCTCTGAATTTTCGAAAATTGTAAATTTAGAAATAATGCAGAAAGTATGTGCTCCTGATGTACCTCTAGTTTTTTATTTGAGAGAGAAATAAACTGATGAAAAATGTAGGGGTGTTTTTGTGCCAGTACCTCGTCAATATTCAATGCAATATATATTCACGTTTTTGTCACTACTCTTCAAGTTAAATAAATGATATATGTAGTTTCTTCTGAAAAACGGAAATTGTATGATCAACAACTAATACAGAGATTATTCCTCCAGTAATTATACTCGCAATGCACTATTTTCAAAATCGATAACAGTAACGAAATCCTGCACTATAAAGATCTGTTTCCTGGACAAGTCACTGCTATTGAAAGTGATTTGGCCCAGCTAACTGTCATGCAGAAATCAAAGAGGTTTTGCAAGTGGTCTCAGACAATAGATTAATTGTTTTACAAATATGAAGATACAATCTATTAAATTAAAAACCAAGAGTTAAAATCCAAAAGATGATTCTGCGCTATAGCGTCGCTCTAGAGAGCAAAAGGGATTTGGGGCTAATGATTCGCTTCAGGCGCGCAAGGAGGAGACTGTACCGCTTATCATGCAGTATTAAACGACGGCCAAACCATGTCGATCCCATGCTATGAAGTGACTTTATGCCAAGTTTAGGTAACGTTTTCTGTTCAAAGACATTTATTTCAATAATTATTCTCACTCAAAACAGACAAAGCAAATTTTTTAAAAGCATGTTTGCTATTTACACGAAAAATAAATAAGTTTACTAAATAATATTTAACTTAAACGATATACAAGTTAACTAAAATCTTTTCAAAAACGACACAAAGCCACCACGGTTGTCCGCAGTTCTTCAGTTTTTCAATAATTAAGCGATATTGTACACTTTCACGGGCATTGTATTACACTTTTACACTGGCAGTCTTGAGAACTCTCTTCATGAACTTTTAACCAGTGAAAAGATATTATTTTCTAACCCTCCTCTGATATCAATTATGACGAATTTTGAGAAGTGTTATTTGTCCCGGCATGCGAAACTAACCTACTAGTAATGTGAAAAAATACAAGGCCAGATAGTGTTTTCATTTGTTTGTAAAAATTATAATATAACTGATGAAGAGTAAATATTTATCAACTTCTTTCTATTAAGAATAGTGTAGACTTTATAACAATGGCTAGAAATATATATTGAGTCTAGATAAAAAATCTTTCATTTAGATTATATGATGGGTCACTAATGTTTGACTCGAAAATGATAATTCATAGTATCCTGCCACTCTTGATCACAGCACAAACTTATAAATGTAAAGGAAGAAATTGAATACATTTTTGCGTTATAGGTTGGTATTTGAGATAAGTAAATTTGTATTCTCTAAACGTCTTACCTGAGACCTCTTCATCTCGCGTAGCTAAGGTAGGTCTGTCACGGTTCGCTGCTGCAACTGCGACTGATACTCCCTGGGATTCCGACGCCGTTTAAATATCGGTGGCGGCTACACGAAATTCGGAAGAATAAGCCGCTCTACATTTCAACGTCCCATTCCTGTCCGAGGCGTAACCGACCGGACCTGCTCTCAACCAAGGAATGAAAACTTCACGTAACGCGCAAGGCGCCCGGCCTACCATTTGGCGCTCGGCCAGCAACGCGACGGTGTACAGCGTGTTCCCTTTCGTCCATTTAGGCAGTGGTTCACCCCACAGCCCGGGGCACTACCGGGTTTTGGGCCTTTCTCCGATCTTTCGAAAGTTCACGAGGTCGAACTGCATCTCGAAGTTTTCATGAACATGTCTAATCAAAAGGTGAACTTAAAATGTTCTTGTCGTGTTACAGGCCATATTTCAAATTAATGTGTAATAATCGCGTATTAGAGAAAGTTCTCAATGAACACACATTACTACAATGCATACAATCTAACTGATCTCTATGGTCTCAATGTCTTCGATCTCGAGACGTAGAAACTTATTAATTGCTTGATATTTGAACAGTAACTGATAGGATCTCTGTATCAACAATCTACACACCACCGTATCAAGGCTATTTTTGTTCCAATATTTTTACTTATTTGCATGATAATTCTGTGAAGGAATTAACAGAAAGCATTCCATTACAAATACAATCAGTGCATTTCCAATCACCCTTTCATAAGTGCTATTCAAAAATTCAATATTAAAGTACAACACGAAATAAATATTGACATTTATTTTATTGTATTGTAGTATTAAACCTCTTGCAAAAGTTTCGCCCTTTTCACATTACCAATAACGTTACTGTAACAGACTAGAACCTAACTTCGAACGACTAGATCCTGAAGTCATATTATTTAACATTTGACATACATTATTCTGTTTAAACTTTGCATCTCATTATTTTGTTTATCAAATAAAATCTCGAATCAATTTCCTCGCTCTCTCTCAAAAACATAAATCTATCAATGACATATGTATTTTCAAAACACTGTACGATAAAGTTTATTCTAGCAAAAATAAATTAATACAAAAGCGTCTCTTCCCAAGATTCATTCCCGCTATTCCCCGTTGTAACTCTTCAATCCGAATATTATCCTAGACGTAATCCTAAACCATCCAATTCGCAGTAAAACAGTAGTATATAGCCATATTTTATTTTCGTAATGACGTCGCCTCATCCATGAATCAAAACGAAGCACCTATTGGAATATTTTTAGATCTTCCAAAAGCTTTGATAAGTATATAGGCATTTTCAAAAGTTCCTCAAAATGTCTGCAAATGTTTTCTTTAAATTTCTTGAAAGAATAGTGTGAAATACAGTTATAAGGATAAAACAGGTTCAATTTTTAAACACTTAATTTTTGAAAATTGCAAAAGGTTGACATTTTTTTTGGTGTCTTCCAACAACAACGAAATGGAAGATACAATTTTTTCTTTCAAATAATTTTTTTCTCCATAATTTGTTCTTTCGTTAAGGCTTTTTTGAAAATTGTAGCTTTCGCACAATATTGCGTGCAATATTACAAAAATAACAGAAACAAAATTTTATCAAAAATGGCTCCAATTTTTTTTCTTTTAACTTCTTTTAGAGATAGTGCTAAACGCACTGTACAAGAAGACATAAATGTTTTTTTCTCAAAAATTGAGGTTAAAATGAGCTCAAAATTTTCAGAAATTTTTAAATGTTATTTCTCAAAAGCGATCTCAATTTTTTCTACAAACTTTTCGAACTGGTAGGAAGAAATGCTTTTATTCCACCATTTTGCTGTACTATTTTTTTTTCAAAATTACACAAATGCAATTTGTTTATATTATCTCTCACGCCTTATATCCAGCGAAGTGTACATTATTGCATTTACGAGTAGAATTGCTTCAAATAACTTTTAATAAATTCTTTGAATGACTCAAAAGATTTCTGCTCATTTTGGATGACTCAAAAGAGCTTCAAATTCTGCATTTACAGTAACGCTTAAACGATGTTTTCTTAAAAACGGCTCCAAAATTTACAACGAAAATTTCCATATATTAAGGATATTTCCATATATATTTCCATATATGGGACGAGGTTTTATCCTTCTGTAATACTCTCAAAGATATATTTCGGTTCAACCATTAGGAACCGAAAAATTGAGAAAATTTTTAAAAAGATGTACTTTGGGCGGCAATGGCAGCTGGCAAGACGATGGAACAAGACCGTAAAGCTAGTTCCGGGGAATGTCAATTTTGTAAAAAATTGAACGGTTTAGGAGGCGCTAGCGTTGACAAAAGACGAACAGGCAGACGCTTTGCCGTTAATCGAATTTTCTATATGCTACATTAAATATCATACGCTTTCCACTTAAAGTTGTGGTAATGAAGTAATTTCTAGGCCTTTTTAGGACCCGCTGGATTTCGTAGACTTTCACATGGGACCATGAAGTCCCTTTTCTGCTTTTACTGCCAGCAATGCTAAATTGCTCCATCTTAATTTCTAAATTAAGTGTAGAGCTTCTGAGAGAAATTAACGAGAGTCAGTAGATCGCCTCTTCAAGGCCTTGAGGGCACTGACTGTGGATCTTGGCATAGCCCCAGAGGTTCCAACCACCACCATCTTTTTACCATCTTATTTGCGCATGTTATTTTGCCTGAAATAGGCCATTTTAAATTTTTGTTTAAATTTTTTTCTCAATACCGACTTAATTGTTTTTATGAAATTGAAGGGTTGAGAATTATAAGGATACTAACTACGTTTTCACCATTTTATAGTGCAATGAAACCAAAGTTTGTAAATTTTGTATCTCACTTAATACTTTGAAAATACGTAAGATATTGACTGAAGGCAACGTGTGATAGGTTTTCTAGTGAATTATCTCTTTAACAACTGCCATTAAGACTATTTGCCTGTTCAAAATAATTTTTATTGTAAACGTGTACCTGCAGATTCTCTGTAAAATTAGAAAGGTACTAACTAAAATAATTACATCTACACATTGAGAAATAATCTAACCTGACTGATGTTTATTAAACATTGATCCAAAAAATCAGAGCAGTATTAATGTAAATTTATTATTTTACATAGCTATTCCCATACTCCAATGAAATTTATATCCTCATCTTCATTAACATTTTCTTGAAAACGTTGCACGGTTAGGACTTTCTCTTGTTTGATAAATAATTCTCAGAAGAACTTTTAAGGTGCTGGTGTAAAGTTTTTTGCTTTTAAATCTTTAATTTTTGCTGTATTTATAAAATTTTGTTTCTTAAACTTGTTCATAAGAGCGGGGAGGCTATGTGGGCGTCCAACTTTGTGAATATTTATTATTTCATACCTTTCTACCTCACTATAAGAATGTTTGTATGGATTCTCCTTCTCAAAGCAAACTTCTGTCAAATCACTGATCACAGTCACTGATCGTCAAACTCGCTTCAAAAGACTTCACTTTACTGAATATTTTTTGCAGCCAACTGTGAAGTCAAAAATATCTCCACTGTGCATTATGATAACTTTAAATTGATTTCCCATTTTGCTTTATCCACTAATTTACACCAATCCAAAGGTACGTGGATTTCATTAAAATGATTTCCTTTCATTTTTTCAATTTGGCTGAAGTTACTGTCACAAGAAAGAAATGTATGAAATTAAGATATCTGTGTCTAATTTTGTCTGCAAATTCTTGCTGAACTAAATAGGACCAAAATGTCACAATAAAAAAGTTTTTAATTTGCCCGTCACTCCACAAGACTAACTCTATTACAGGAAGAATGTTTCTCATCCTTAAGTCATTTAACACTTTGAGAAGAGCAGATGCTACTTCAGAGGATCCACGCCTCGCAAGTTCTTCATTCCACATCACCATATAAGAATCATCATTCGAACAAACATGGACACACTCATTATAAATCTATAACTTTCTCTTTAATAACGCCTGGAAATTGCTGAAGAATGACACAGGAAAAGTTTGCTGCATGACAAATGTTAGTACTTCAAAAGATTTACTTTCGTTCTTACTTTTGGTATATCTATTTTTAACTTTTCATATCCTAAATCTGCTTTTCGGACATGTGATTCCTTTTGGTTCAAAAGTGTTGCTTTCTCACTGTTCTGTAAGGCTAGGTCATTAAGTTTATTTGTTAATTTATCACAAGTATGGATCTAAACGAGGTGGACCAAAAGTGTGGTTAAACTCATGAAGAAATATATTTCCATATAACCACTCTTTTACAGGTTCATCTTCTTCCACATACATTTTATATATTCTTGATAAATTCAAAGTAGAGGATAAGAACCATTTGTTTGGGCTGTCCTTCCTACAATAATGACTTAGCATAGTAAAAACATTTTTGATGGGGTTTCGCACTTTCTTTTCGTGTGATACTATCTTCTTAATATGTTTTCCACGCCTGTCCAACAGAAGGCCAGTATCACTTTTATTAATGTGAATTTTTGCAAGTCTCTTCCTACTTATTTGAAACAATGATTTAAATGTATGCTACACATACATTAAATGACACACCATTTAAGAATACTTTAACTGTCTTCTATCACGCACCCTTCTCTCTGCCATAAGTTTTCTGTCACTATGTGATAAAGTCACAAGCCTGGAAAGAAAGAAATTTTGTTTGTTGTTTTTCCTAGTTTTGGAAATCTTTCAAAACTTCCTTCCCTATTGGTAATCTTAATAAAATGTAAGTCGTTGCACACAGGTTCTTTACATTATTTGCCAGGAACCAGCCTTTACCAGAAGATGACACATATTTTTCAAAACCATTTCTCTTTTGTTTTCTTATATTTTGTTTCCAAACTGATTCATTGCATTTTCTTTTTTTCCCTCTTAGTTCAAAAGAATTATTTGAAATGTTACTATTAACAATCATTTAACATAATGAAATATGATGAAATTCTTATAAACGTAAAATATATAAAGTACGAAATTATATTAAGAAATTAAAAACTTGTACACATTCTACCCATTATATACAGTAATGCTATGCTAATATTTTACACGTACTAAACTCTAAAACGTCACAATGTAGAATTCGCGTCCGTACTCTGAGTTTCCGAATCCATTTTCTTGATTAGAAACTTCTACTTTCTTTTACGCGCACACGTCAAACTACTAACATTCTGCATACAAGTACATCAGTTTCCTGCAGCTGATCACAGCTGATGCTAACAAAAATAATCCGTGCTTCCTTTTGCCTGCAGCGAAGATAGTACGCCTAAAATTCTACAGAGCGCGCTAGTTGTGCGATCACGTAGAACGCTCCACTTATATTAATGTTTTGGCACAAGGGGGGTTCAAAATCATCATCATTACATTTGGCAGTTTTAGATGTGCGATAGACAGAAATAAAAATAAAAGGCCATATTCTGAGCACAAAATAGAATAAGAAAACAAGTTTATCTCAATTTGGTGAAATGACAGATGGTTCCCTTATAATCCTTAGCTCTTCAATTTTGTTGGTGGAAAGTCTGAAGAACGTTTAAGAGAATCATGTAGGCGCCTTTCTACATCTACAATTATGAAAATACATTTTTTTCTTAGTGAAAGGTGTTGATCAATATCAGATCTTGAAATAAAGTAATTTTTAATTTTAATTAAAGCACAAGTATTTTTTGCAAAAATATATGTCAAACATTCGCAATTTTTATTTTCTTTAAAAAAATTTTTCTTAAAAATCGCACGTTTTTTTATTAGAATGGAATCTATTTAGCATAAAGGGCGCTTATGGGAATGGTCCAGGTCTCATTAAAATGATTTTGCGAAAATTTTAAAAATTCGGCGTCTTCAGCTCTTTTTTTTCTTAACATCTGTCATAAAAAGCAGATTAAATAAGGTTATGTTAAAATTTTTAAAACGACTAGTACTTTTGTGTAATTTTGCGATAAATACAATAACCCACTCAATTTGACTCCGCATCATTTTTGGGGTCTTTTTATAAGTACAATTGTGAAAAAATGTTATTTTAATGAAATGTGTTCGTAGGCTTCCGCAGCCGGAATCATTAGATATTTGACTGTGCGGGTGAGCCGCGTCTCAGTCGATTGAACTGTTTCGGCCATCGTGTTGTGACCTTCTACAGAGCTATATTTCAGCAGCATAGTTCTGAAGAAAGCCACAACACTATGGCCGAAAAGTCAGCTCAATCGACTGAGACGCGGCTCAACACGGATAGTCAGGTATTTAATGAAATGTGTTTACTAAAAATAGATCTTCAAATAAGTTCACGTTAATTTTTTTTTAACTATGACTTTTTTGTGCAAACTGGCGAGAAAATGAAAAGCCGCTTCGATTTTTCTGTATATATATATATTTATATATATATATATATATATACATAAATCATTATTTTACACTACACGCTTATAATAAAAATATATTTTCAAACATTTTAATGAACCAAAATGTTTTAAGGAACGAAAATGTCTCGCTTCAGTCCACTTCTATGCAAAAACTTATATAATGCTCTTAAATATGCATAGATAAACATATGCTGTAAATGAAAAATCCCAGAAATATGCAACTACGCAAAATAAAAATGAGCTACTTTTGTTTTATTTTTGGTGGTAGGTAGAGATATATACATTTTCTTTCAATTGCGCAATAAGTAAAACGCAATTGCATGAAATTCCGCGGTCTAGAAATGAGTAAATAGTGCTACAAATACACACTCTGTGAAAGTATGAACAGCACTTCCGTTTGCGATGAATACCACAGCAGTTTTTTATAAATTACACCTCAGAATACCCGGTAGGATATGTTGTATACCATTTAATATCCTCTAATCCCCCCCCCCAAAAATGCTGCGTATTGAATAAAAGAACTAGTGGTGGTGCGACAACATACTTTCTTGCCCCTTAATAACGGTTATGTCATATAGTATACTGCATAGCGTAATATATACCGCAATAGCGGTAATATATACATTAATTCCTTTTTTTAGTATATCTTTATTAGTGAACGAATGTACATAGTTCAGTATTATTTATACTACATCATATGTGTGATCCTTCGTGTCCGTTGGTGCTCGCTGTGGTGAGCGCCCCAAGACGGCGGCCTCGGTGGCGCTACGCCATTCACCAGGCACGAAGCCAAGTTCCTACGCCGTTGTTCCACGGCCCCGTTGGAGGGCAAGGTGACCGAGTAGCACGGCACAGTCACCGACAAGCCACGGCCACAAAGCACGAGTTCGTCGACTACGTGGCCTTACCCCAAGTACAAGTTTCGAGTACGGCGTGGAAGCATTAGCACACGGGCGACATTTCAAGCAGCAGAAGGAGCCGTGCGCGACGGATACCCAGGTGGAGGGGCGAGTACTCCGCTCAAGGAGCCCGGCGGCAACGCACTGCGCACCGTCAAGTACTCGTTTGCGGAGAAAGAAGACGGCTTTTTCGGCGCACGTTGGATGAACCACGCGCATCCAGCACAAGTACGTGCCTCAAGGACAAGCACGGCCACGGCCTGAAGGCAGGCGGAGGGCAAGTCGTACGTGCACTTACCAGGGTCCCGTGTGGGGGAGGGGCACAAGGTGTCGGCCGTGCCTCAGCCATCACCACGCCTACTAGGCAGAACTGGATTTATGCTCATGTTCTTGTTGTTTTATGATTTCTTGTTAGCCCACATAATATCTATCCCGCTTATCACTATTCTCATCCGATGTCCACAAATACATCTTCTGTTTATTATCATGTATAATAAACGTACTTTGAAATCACTTTATTTGTTTATTATTTCTTCCATCATATGTCGCTAATTGTATTAATGATAAGTATTCACCAGTTAGATTATATCGACACGTCTAATCTAAGGATATTATATTCGTATGGGCCTATATCTCAATCCGCAGCTGCTATCCCTACCCACACTCGTATCTTTCAGCTACTTTCACTTAATACTGCGACCCCCACCCTAATCTGAAATTTGCATTCTGTAATATTGATTCACACATGAAAAACGAATGCTTGTCCAGAAACACACTTCTTCTTTCATTTATGAGAATCATTTGTGTTGTTATAGAAAATGTTCTTACATTAAACTTAGATAAATGTTGTGTGACAACGCTACGTGCGTAATCGCGGAAATATAAAAAAGTACGGAATTAAAGTTGTTTGATTACCATATGCCGAAAAGAGTTTCTTGGTGTGTGGTAACAAGTAATTAATGGGGAAACAAATAACAGTGCCTGTAAAGAGCCAAAAAATAAATTACGGACGTTTTTTAAAAATCATAGTTTGTTCATAAAACATTAGAGGCAACGTTGGCAGGCGAGAAGCACAACCCATCGTCATATTGTAATTTATTATTCTCATGAAAAAAAACAACAACACAAAAGTTAATACGTATTATCTAGGTTGATAGACGAAGAATGTCGAAATACTAGTTAAGATAAAATTGTGTTCGAATGAGAATCATCAACTGATGATGATGGCCCTAAGCCATCGAAAGCATGCCTAATTGTAATTAAAAAAACCAATTGTTGGCCATGACAACATCTTCTAATTATTTTAAAAATGCCAAAAGATATCTTACCACAACACCTATGGTTCGAAGAGAAACAAAGGCAGACAGTACAATTGGCATCGGAAAATCATTTTTTTCGCTTGCAAAAATAATTACTACAGTAATAATCTTGTTTACCCGGATAACATTAAATCATAGAAGAACACATTTTTTCCAATTAATGGAATAATCGCGAGCAGTACACGGGAAACAAAGAAAAACAGGAATCATAAGATACTCCGCATTTGTTGAATGCATAGCGAGTTAACCAAAAACGTAAGAAGTATTTACAAATTAATTTAAGATCGCCTGTATCACATGCTTACACGTCTCTTGAAAAATTTTAGATCAACCCGCATTGCCTTAGAAAATCATAAATATAAACATATTGAATTTGAATATGGGAATTGCCGCGGCGGATGTCTATACCGAATGAAGGTGGTTTTTAAAGTGTAAAGGCGTTAGCTCGCCTTCCCCCCCCCCCCCCGAAAAATTCGAAAACGGGAATCATCCTAATTTTATCTCAATGCCAGAGCTGAACAACTACTCATGGTTTTCGTAAATATTTGACCTTTATATGAAATTTGAAAGATGAACAATACCTACATTTTAGGACTTAAGAGGATTTACTTTATGTCTAAATAATAGAGACTTTGCGCCGCTGCCGCGCGTCGAAAAACCCCCGGCCAAAAAAATTCTTGGATGTTACTGTGAGGTGTGGCACCTCACTTCATTTTCTTTACTAACTCTTTACTTCTGTACTTCACTATTATATATATAATATATATATATTATTATAGTATATATATACTATATATATATATAGTACGGACGTTGCTCTACAGCTGTCGCCGTTTTTTCTCCCCCTCTCATTTGCCTCTTCTATTTAGCCTCTCTATTTCATGCCTCTCATATTGGACCATTAGATTCATCTGGCATTTTCTCATGCGTCATAGCCTCTTGCACTCCCTGGGTTGCCATTTGCAATCTGGTGTCTTCCTCTCTTCTGTCTTTTTCTGTCGGCACCCATTTTCAGGATTCTTTTGGCCATCTTTCGTCTGTCATCGCATTAACATTGACCTACCAGACGATTTGTTTTTTCTCTTATTTCGTCAAGTATAGATTTTCGTTGACATCCATTTATTTCTTATATTCGTCGTTCCTGATTCTGTCACGTCCTGCCTTAAACAGCAGCTCTACGCAGTAGTTCATTTCAAGGGCCAGCAAGCTTCCCTTTTGTTCTTTGTATCGATCTCCCAGACTTCTAACCGAATGTTGTAACACTACTTAACTACCGCGAGGAGTAAAGACGTTCTTTTAGCTTCAAGTGTTATGATGCCGGATTTTCTATTGTAACACCGGCTATCAACTGAATAACTACTTTCGTGTCACGTTTCCTCCCAACAATCTTTATTCGTCTCTCAATTTTCGTCATGGCTATTTCCTTCAATTGCTTAAAAGTACACCAAGGTATTATATATTTGTTTACCCCATTAATTTTTCCTCCATTTTCCACAAGAAGATCATTTATTTCATTTTTACCAACTGCCAGGTATTCAGATTGTACCATATTAATATTAGTCCTGCTTTTAAAAAGTGCTTCATTGAGTTTTACGGGATCATAAACTCAAATCAATCAGCATCTTCGCAATTTACTACCCTGGTCATCGGCAAAATATAAACGTGAAACAATTTATCCTCTCCGTCGTCATTCCATTTACTCTGCATTGTTTCTCCCATGCTGCCAAAATTTGATGCCAGATTTATATTTTAAAACAGTGTTGCGAGAAAGACAGCAACCCTTGTCGCAGACCTTTGCCTGACTGGGAATGGATCCGAGAGCCTGCTGATAAGATCTTAATCTGAGAGGTGTTTATTCTTTATATAGATTTCTGTGGTGGCTTCCAATTAGGTTTCACTCGCATTTTGAAGTCCATCCATTCTTCCCATACTCTAGCAACCGGTACATTGGTTCAAACGCCCTTCTAAGATCATGAAACCCAGATGAACTTTCCCTACCTCTCCTTGTTCTCTTTTCTATAAGTTGCTTTTAATGTAAATATTATTGTCTATTGACCGACCTGCGGCATAAAACCACATTGTTCACTCTCCTATTTTTCCTTTTATCTCTTCTTCATTTATATTCGTATATTTTGCTATACAGACTTACCTATAGATCCAATAAATGCTATTCCTCTGCTAGTTTGTTTCATTAGTCTCTAGATCCTTGCTTATGGATTGGTGTAGTAAGACGTTCGCCACTCCTGAGGAGGATTTTCTCCATTCGATGCACCTTGAAAACATGTGTTTGAGCATTGGTGCAGTTTATAGGACCATATTCAGTTAAATTCTGTCCGGTTATATCTCCCCGGACCAGGTGCCTTATTGGATTTCATTGTCTTAAGGTGTTTTTTTCTAAATCTTTTAATTTGTCAGAATCTACCCTTTTGCCTCAAATTTTACTTCCTTGTGTGTTTGGAAGTTCTGTTTTCTTAGAAGCAGTCTTTCGAAATACTCTTTCCATTTATTGATTCCAATGTTTGATAAATGCGCATATTGTTTTCTCATTCGATTTAATTAGATTTTAATTAACTTTCCAGGCTTCTGCTCCGTGCTCCACCTATGATTGTTCTATATAATCGATTATATCCAGCCATAATTTGTTCTTCCTTGATAAATACTTCTTGTTTTACTTCTCTACTTATGCTCTTGTTACTGTAAAAATTAGTTCGCGTTCTTTTGTCACTAAGCCATTTAAATACAGTTCTCTTTTCCTCCATTAATCTTTTCTTCTAGACTTGTGTCCCACCAATACTGTTTTGGTTTTTAATTTACAAGTACCTTAAAGCCTCCTCTTGCGGCTTGGTGAATACACTCTTTTTATTTGTTGTTCATATTCTTTTTTCTAATTGGCTGTGTTTTAACCAATAGGTTTTAGTTTCAAGCCTTTTTCTGTAGAAGATATGCTGTACTGTCATTCGAAAAGACTGGCTTAATTTTGTATTTGGTAGGGTTTCATGGACAAATCCCTAATTATTTTCTATAATCTGTGCTATTCAATGTAAATGTGGTTTTGAATATTTTAGCAATTACCAAACAGTAGTCGCTTTACATTGGCTCCCCGTTTCACTCTTAACACCTTGCGACTTTGAGGTGAAGTTTTTTGCTTATGTACACAGAGGTCTATTATAGATTTTAGTTTTTTGTATGTTGGTACCAGTTATACTTATGCATATCTTTATGTTGGGAAGAAAGTGTTTTTATAATTTTCATTTAATACTCTCACAAATAGTAATAGTCTTTTTCCATTGCCATTGCAAGTTTTCCTCACCATGTTGGACCCACGAATATTGTTCTTGTCTCTTCCCAACTCTTGCCGTTAAAATTCTCCTGCAAATATTATTTTCATGCGAACTTTTGGAATTTCCGTCAAAGGTTTCTTTTGGACTGTTCATTTCAAAAATACAATCATTATTCTTAGCCATTGGGGCATCATCATTCAAATTATATAATTCTATGACAAACTTATGTATTTTCCTTCTGAATTTTTAACACTACTTTAGAAGACGTTCGATTTATATACTCTCAACTTTTTATGCATTTACCGAATCTTTTCTCCAATAACAATAGAAAATTGCCGGCTTTTGGCATTTTCAATGTTTGTTTACGCCACTGTAAAAGTGCACAAAGTTGTTCAGTGTCTCGGCTTTCCCTTGCCCTTTCTTTTTTTGTTTTCAACCAGACGGCTATATCTATGCTTTCTTTCTCATCCATTCCTGGATTACTTCTTGTTGTTTATTTGATATACTTTGTTAACCATTCCATTATACCAAATATTTCAGAAGTCATTTTTCTTTGCTGATGTCGTTTCCCTTTGTAAATATCCGAGGCATTTCCTATAATCTGAGATTTTTTTAGGGGTGTGATGTTTAGCGTGTACAGGGGTGCTTGGCGCACAGCACAACCCCCAAACCTGGAGACCGGAGCTTTTATCAGGGTTCCCATCCCTTTAGGCTGATTGCTTCCACCAAGCTTAAGGAGTCCAGGGCCT